AAAACAACGGGAACAGTGAAGGGGAAATGAAAATATAATTTATTTACACATCCTGCTTTTGGCTGCGCCATGATACCAACCAAGAAGCGGAGGATTCTCTGCAAAATTGGCTATGTATGAATTAGCCTAGGAAGATTGAAACTTTTGCCCCTTGTTGACAAAGGTTTACTGCAGGGGTGAAAGTAATGCAGTACAAACTCGCCATACAAATTATGACCCTGGTCTGCTGGTTGTAGCGATGCAAAATTATTTTATTCAGTATGCGGTAGGCTTTGTGAAAGACTTGACATTTTTAACATGTGCAGTTTTTCACTGATTGTAAGTCTTTCTGAACCAGCAGAACCAACACGTTATTGTATTGCTTCTTAATTGTGAATTGGAAAATTAGGGCAATTTGGAATTGGAAAATTGTCTGAAGTCCTAGAGTCTAATTGCCTGAAGTCTGCAATTAATCCAGAATGCGGCAGCTAGACTGGTGACTGGGAGTGGCCGCCGGGACCACATAACAATGGTTCTGAGAGATCTGCATTGGCTCCTAGTATGTTTCCGAGCACGATTCAAAGTGTTGGTGCTGACCTTTAAAGTCCTAAACGGCCTCGGTCCAGTATACCTGAAGGAGCGTCTCCACCCCCATCGTTCTGCCCGGACACTGAGATCCAGCGCTGAGGGCCTTCTGGCGGTTCCCTCATTGCGAGAAGTAAGGTTACAGGGAACCAGATAGAGAGCCTTCTCAGTAGTGGCGCCCGCCCTGTGGAACGCCCTCCCGTCAGATGTCAAAGAGATAAACAACTACCTGACATTCAGAAGACATCTTAAGGCAGCCCTGTTCAGGGAAGTTTTTAATATTTAACGCTGTACTGTTTTTAACACTTGATTGGGAGCTGCCCAGAGTGGCTGGGGAAACTCAGCCAGATGGGTGGGGTATAAATAATACATTATTATTATTATTATTATTATTATTATTATTAAGTAATAGAGGTTTGAAAGCAGACCATTCTCACAAGTGATAGATAACCAGTTGTGCTTGTTTGCCAGAGTAAGACATCAGCTGCCCATTGCTTGATCTTTAATTGTCTGGGAGCAGCAGGAAAGGAAGAGGATTTCCATTGGGTGAGTGGACGTCTGCTGGCTTGACACTGGATTTCACCTTCCAGTTTTAAACAAGGATGCTGAACAGTGATATTGAAGAAAGAGCAGCACAGTCCCAAAGTAAACAATGCCCGCCCCAACCAAGCAACTCTGTGCCTCTCAGTATAGGGTGATTATGCCTACTGATATCATAGTTGCATCTAATGTTCTAGCTCCAAAGAGCCAACAAACTGGCAAATGTTCCTGTAATATACACAAACATTTCATGGCCTTTTAAACACATCAGAACAGAATGTTCTTCCACAGGTAATTAATGCAATGTAGACAATGAAAGGATACACTGTTGGAAACTGAAGATTTGGTTTTGATTTGTAGCTTGACGCCATGCTCCTTACAACATGAAATAAAAACATAATTTCCTCATGTGTAGGAAACTGTCCAGCAACCGGTTCCAGCCCTCCCTTCTGGCTAACAGAGAACAGTCTGCTTCATCTCCTGACTATCAGTTTTTCAGATATTTGAAGACCACTATCATATTTCTCTTTAATCTTCTCTTCTCCAGCCTATGCAAATATAATCCCGCAGCCAGACCATACTTTAAGATCACCTTCAGAGGTCCTGCTCACAGATAAAACCAGTTAGACATGAGAAGCATGGTCTTCTTGGTTGTGGCTCCACTGTAATGGAACTTCCTTCTGAGTGGATTGCACTTGGTACTTTCATTACAAGCTTTCAAATGAGCCCTTAAAAACTATCCCTGAGGCTGTTTCTGGGCACCCAGAGCTGTTGATATAATTTACTGAAATCTTTGTTGGTGTTTCGGTCTGATGCAAAAGTGATGTCTCATAGTAATGTATGCTAATTTGATGTGCCTTTTTCTTTGGTTTGTGAAGGTATGGCCTTGAATGGCAGCCTTTAACTGCATTAAACAAAATTACCTAAATTGTCAGTCAATGAGAACATAAACTTTCTGGCTAGAAGTTGCTCTCTAATTGTACATGACTTTTTTGAAATTAATTACATTTCTCAATAGTACGGATCCGTAAGTCCACCTAAAATGTCATGCATTTCAAACACAGAAAACTTCGTGTAGATGGGCACATAAGAAAATTGCATAAACATCTGTTTCTCTGCAACTATTCTGTTGATTATTTTCATAATCAAAAATGTCAGGCACACTACTTTTGACTGTTATATATATTTTTGAGATATTTATGCATTACTCTGCAACTTCCTTCCTGGGGAAGCTAGACTGGCTCCCTCCTTGTTTTTATGCCAGCATGTGTCTTAAGACCTTTTTGTTCTAACAGGCTTTTGAAACTTGACTGCTTTTAATGAAAGGGCTGCTGCAGTGCTGTTTTTATTGTAATTATTTGTAGGTTTTAACATATTTTATATTTGTGTTTTTTTTGTTTTTTTTGAAAATTCTTTTTATTTTATTTCTGACATATACACCAACAAAAAAACCCCCACAAACAATCCAAAAAGGAAATAAAGCAAAATACAAATGCACAAAAAAGTCACATAACAAAAACATTAGATTCATACTGCATTGTTAAACTGACTTCCCTCCACCACGGTTTGAGCTGTATTCCAATGTTTTCTTCTGCAGAATCTTTTTACCACTTTTATCTCTACATCACCGGTTTTATATTACCCCTACTGTAATTTTAATATTTCCTAAATTTGTTTCCATGTATGTAATGAATTTGTTCCAATCATTAATAAATTTGGTGTTTTTCTGATACCTGATCTTCTGTGTCATTTTTGCTAACTCTATATACTCGAATAACTTAATTTGCCATTCTCTAATAGTTGGGATGTTAGGTGTTTTCCAGTTCTGCGCTAACAATATTCTGGCTGCTACCGTTGCATATTGAAACATGGTTTGATCTTCCTTCTTAATCTCATCTCCGACCATTCCTAAAAGAAAGGCTTCAGGTTTTTTAGGGAAGTTATATTTCAAAACCTTTTTTAATTCATCGTAGATGAGACCCCAAAACCTTTTCACTATTTCACATGTCCACCACATATGGTGGAAATCACCCTCCTTCTTTTTACATTTCCAGCAGGTTTTGTCCCCTGTTCTATACATCTTTTCTAGTTTCACTGGAGTGATGTACCAACGATACATCATCTTTTCCATATTCTCTCGGAGTCCAGCACATGCTGTGAATTTCATATCTTTATTCCAAAGTTTCTCCCATCTATCATAATCCAAATTGTATCCCAGGTCTATAGCCCATTTAATCATGACCTCTTTCACCTCTTCGTCCTTGGTGTCCCACTCTAGTAGTTGATTATACATTTTGGACAAAATTTTGGTGTTTCCTTCTATTATTTCTACCTGGTATCTAGATTTTTTCTCCTTCATCCCTACTTTTTTATGTATCTTGGGCTTTCCATGTTTAGTTTTTTGATTGTCAAGATGTCAACCGGTGAAAGCCACTGTAACATATTTTATATTTGTATAGTTTACTTGTTTTTTCTGTGTTTTTAGTGATTCTTTTCTTTTTATTTGTAAGCTGCCTTGAGTCCCGCCAGGCAATATGGCAGGAAATAAACAAATGAGTAAGTAAATACAGCAATAATAGTAATAAGGTGCATAGTCCTTTATTGGCTACAGCAGAAGCGGAGCTCATTTGGCTTTCTGCATGTTACTATGCCACAACTCCCATCAGCCCTAGCAAACAAAGTCAGTGGCCAGCGATAATAAACAAAATTACTGTACAGTGGTACCTCGGGTTAAGAACTTAATTCATTCTGGAGGTCCGTTCTTAACCTGAAACTGTTCATAACCTAAAGCACCACTTCAGCTAATGGGGCCTCCCGCTGCCGCCATGCGATTTCTGTTCTCATCCTGAAGCAAAGTTCTTAACCCGAAGTAATATTTCTGGGTTAGTGGAGTCTGTAACCTGAAGTGTATGGAACCTGAAGCGTATGTAACCCAAGGTACCACTGTACTCTAATAATATCTGGAGGGCCAAGGATTTCCCACACCTTCTACTGCATGGATGGCTTGAAAATTTTGACTGAGGATTGAAACCAGATGTTGTCAGCATCGCCCTTGAGCCAGTACCACTAACTGGACTCATCCACTTCAGCCCCGACTGGGATAGGCGAGCTGAGCAGCACTTCCAGAGACCACCTTCTGCACAGGAACAGGTCAAAGTGCTGTGGACTCACAGCTTAGAGTTGTGAGCACCGGATTCACTCCCACAAGAAGACAGTCGTCGCACAGCAGAGTACAGCAGAGTCTAGCAGAGTATATAAACAACTCGGAGAGCAGCTCTGTAGAATATCTTCTTTATTCTATAACTACAACTATAATACAACTATATACAGAGCAAATAGGTCTAAGCATAAATGAATGCTGAACTGCACTGAGTGTCTGCAGCTGCTCTTAGCAGCAACCTTATCTAAACACACAATCTCTCTCTAACACTCAGTCTCTCTCTCTCCGACACACTGACTGACTGACTGATGTGGTGCTGGAGCAGAATAAGTAGAGAGCAGAACACGCCTCCTCCTCTCTGCAGAATCAGCAGACTCCTCAGGAGATTCTTGGATATGGGAGGGGTGAAATCTCCTCAGATGTGTGACCCTTGATGTTTGGTTTCCACACTTTTTTCCTATTCATAAGATGCACACCATAACCGTGTTGTAAGTAGGGGGTGCAGCACAAATGCACACTCGCAGTTCGCAATACTGTGGTGTACTACAAACAGTGTGGCACAATCTTTCATATAAATGAATTTCAAGAGATAGTATTTATGCAGGCAAAATCAGATGCATGAATTATACATCTACCTTGACAGCAGGGCATATGTGAAAGCTCTATCTGGGTTTCTCCGCCCCCAGAGTACTGCAAAATAATTTTGAAATGTTTCAAAGAAAAAAAGCACACGAGTTTTGAACGTCAATGAATTTTAGCGCGGAAACAGAAGAGAGCACGGCTTCTTTAAGAGAAAGCACGTGACGTTTTGCACCTTTTAAGCAGAGCAAGATGGCTCTCTTCGAGTCAGGGGAGGTGGAGAAATGTGCCGTGGCTTTGCTCCCCCGGAATTTCAAGCGAAGGCTAGCTTTGCATCAGATCCCACAAGGTAGTCTGAAAAGGGGCTGGAAGGAAAATGAGCTGGGTGGAATGGAGACATCGCTCAGCCTCTAACTGCTTCCAAATTGAGATATGGAAAGAGAAAGCAACTTGCAAGGCAGTTGCCGCAGGATGAACCCGGACTGAGCTGAGACTGCCAACTGGAGGACGAGGATGCAGAACGACGATAATCGTTGAATCCGAAAAGCAAGATTCTGCAAAGCCACTTCCGGCTTGCCCAGGAGGTAGGGGTTGCAGGCTTCACGCCCACTCCACGTGAGGGGGGGGGCTGGTCGCAGCCCCCGCGAGAGCAGGGGAATCCCGGCCGGGCCTGTCCTATTTAGGGCCGGCTCAGAGGGGGCTCGCCCTCTTTTCGCCCTCTCGTTTGTTTCCCGCATATCAGCTGTTCCAGTTTGTCGGAGATCTTATCTGCTGTTGCCTGGAGCGTTCCTGCCTTGCTTCTTTGTTGCCTTTTGTTCTTGAGCGGCAGGGCACCTCGTGGAATATGCTGTAGCTTCACAGAAAAAGCTCCCTTTCTTTTACAGAGAATTTCCAGCATTCGCTGCTGGTGTTGCTTTATTGCTAAACTGCTTGATGTTCAGTTGTTATCTTTAGGAGCTGAAACCAATTTGGGGGCTTTTCTCCTTCTGGGGGTTTCCCCCTTTGCGCTTCATTCCAGCTGCTGCAGTTTAACACCGGAGCAGTAATGGAGCTAAAATCACTGTGTGTGTGTGTGCTTTCCTTCCAGCATCTCTTTCACGTCTACAGTTTTAAAGGGAGCTCTGTGTGTTTCAGTGCAAGTTCCCTGCTCTCAGGAGCTTGCCGTGCCTGCTGCATGCCCCCTTCAGAGGAATTTATTCAGCTTTGTGGAGCTTTTTCTGCTGATCCGTTGCTTGCCCTCGGCTGCTGACTGCCTGTTCTGCAAGGAGCTCAAGGAAGAACGTTTGGCTCCTCTTCCTTATTTCCACGGAGGACGCAGCGCACCCATCCAATCAGGTTTTGCTGTTGGGGCTTCAGGTTTTAGCTAGGGGTTTGTGCAGGGGAGCGTGGTGCAATTAGGCGGAACGGCAGCTGCGGGAGGAGAGCGGGCTGCGTTTTGTGCCGGTTGTGTTTCATTTTGTGTTTCATTTTCTTGCCGGGGTGAGGGGCAGAATTTCTGGTTAAATAATCATTTCAGCAGCATTCTTGAGGGGTTGAGTGGGTTCCACAGAGCATCGCTTCCTCTACAGGCTGTTTTATTTTCGTGCGGAAGTTTAGACTTGGAAAACCTCGGAAGCAGCTGCGCCGTTGCCAGGCAACCAGCGCGCCCCGGCCGCCATTTCATCCGCCCACGTGCCCTTCCGGGTGGCCGCCATTTTACTATAGGCATTCCACGTGGGAAGTAATTTTACAAACACTCCCTTTTAAGCTTAACCGGTGAGAAAACCAGGGGAATAATTAACGTTCATAAGGGGTACGTGGGGAATGCCTGCAGGTTTTGCTCTTGAGGCTGCGGAATTTTTCAGTATTAAAGGGCTAGCGTTAGGAACGCATTACAGCTGCCATTTTGATTGCCCATGTGGCCTTGCAGTGGCAGCCATTTTAGGAGAGGCAAAAGCACGTAGGAGCTATCTCCTTTTCGAGTGCCCCTCACTTTCTCGTTGGTTTTAAATTCAAAAGCAATATAAACAAAGGAAATAAACATAAGCAATATAAACAAAGGATGATAGCGCAATTATTAATAGAGCCTAGCTTAAATAAGAGTGCACAAGGGGCTGCAGGGAGCCCCTCCTCTTGGTGCATAAGCATGTATAGAGCTGGCTACAGCGTCTCTGGCTAGGCTGATCTTAGAATTGATATCCTCTAATTAATTTGACTGCTTTTGTTTATACTTACACTCTTGAGAATTTCATTCTGGGAATTTACGAAACGCATTTAAATTAAACTGAAGCATTAGTGCACAGTATATAGGAATTCAAATTATTTCATTCAGCTTGTGGTGCTCTGAGGAGCTGTATCATTTACTCTCTACCTAGGCATTAAGTTTTATAATTTGGTATAGTCAATTGATAGTAATAAGGAAAAAGAGATCCGGGTTTTATATCATTTGATTTATTAAAGGGCTTCTTCGCCTGCAAAATAATCTTTGCATACAGGTTTATAGGGAATCTAAAGTATATAGCTCATGCCTCTTCTACATTCATCTCTTTCTGGTATTTCATCTGTTAGTCTATAGGTATATATTTAATCTGGCAATTTAATTCATTTGGTTGATTTTGATAATAGTGCTTAAGGGCTCTTGGGAGCTTTGCTTTGCTTATAGGTTTGTTGCATAAGTCAATTTATCATTTTTTCACTACTGTATTGCTGGGTTACAATTTATAATTCTACCTCTAGCTTGCTGCATAGCTGCTTGCAATATCAAAGGTTCTCTTCTGTTTAGTATAGACTCAGTATTCCTCTAAATACATTGCTTTGAGGTGTGGGCTGGTATTTTGGACTGCCATCCAGTGCAGATAATACCGAGCTACGGTGATACTGTTTGCAGCTAAATACAATTTGTTGGAGATTAGTTAGGCATCTTTGGGTACTTTAAACTTACCAGTGCAGACAATACTGAACTACCGTGATATTGCTCGCAGCTCACGCATATAATCCAAGCTAGTTGGCGTTGAATTTACAGAACCAGGCTAATTAAGGGTATCAAACTATGTCTGCTCAAGAGAACCAGCAAAATGCTGCTATATCTGGGGTGGCACAAGGGAACCAGGAGGGGTCCCAGGCCTTCATAGTGCCTAGCAACCCACAGGCTTTGGCACAGTTGTTCAATGCTTTTTAGACATTTTATAGGCAATATAGGCCCACAGACGAGGTGGCAGCGGTACCTCTGGCGCTCACCCAAGAATGCATCCCAGATACGCCACCTAACATTGTGGACCGCCCCGGCACCTCCGCGTAGTCTGAAAAGGGGCTGGAAGGAAAATGAGCTGGGTGGAATGGAGACATCGCTCAGCCTCTAACTGCTTCTAAATTGAGATATGGAAAGAGAAAGCAACTTGCAAGGCAGTTGCCGCAGGATGAACCCGGACGGAGCTGAGACTGCCAACTGGAGGACGAGGATGCAGAACGACGACAATCGTTGAATCCGAAAAGCAAGATTCTGCAACCACTTAGCAGTGAGCAGCGGCGGGCACTTTGCAGCACAAACAAGCAAACGCATTTCTTTACTCAGAAGTAAGTCCTGTCGGAATTCAGTGGGATTTACTCCCAGGCATTGGTTTGTAGGCCTTGGTAACCAGTACGTAGTTCTATTCTCTCGCAGATCATAAAACATCTTCCTGTGTCTTGCGCAGGGTGTTTGTTTTTTTTAATGTTAAAAACACGTTAGACTTGCGGAGTGAAAGTATGCCTCTGAACACGTGCAGAGTTACTTTTCCTTGCTATTTCTACTCCAGACTGCTATGTATAGGTGTAGTCAGGATTTTTGTTGGGGGGGGGGCAGGACTTTTGTTGGGGCGGCAGAAGCGACGTGACTGGTCAGTTAAGTATTCCTATAGTTTTGTTTGATGGGGGGGAGCAGCTGCCCCCCCGCTCCCCTTAGCTACGCCCATGTGGCGGTGTAACGTGAATAACTCAGGCTAGAACACTCCCCTGTCCTGTAATTGCTCATGTTTCTCAAAGGTATGGAGCGGGGCGGAGCCACAGTCCGGAGCGTTTTCCCGCTTAAGTCCAATGTTGTCGCGTTACTGGGCAGCAGCAGTAGAGGAAGACGCACCGCCGCTGCTGCTGCACGCCTCGCTCAGCCCGCTCCATCAGTGCAGCAAGGTGAGGTGTTGAGTGGCCTTGTAAGTGGTGAAAACTAAGTACCAGGTAAAACGAATACATCAGAGTGTACTTCTGGCCCGTTTTCTAAGCGCTGGGAGTTAATGCTACCTGGACTTGTGACATTTTTATTACTGCACCCCCCCCCCACCTTAGGTAAGTGTTTTAGGATGGGATGTTGGAGGAGACAGACCACTAGAAAAGAATCACTTTAAAGCCCATATGATTATAGTAGTTTGCTAGTACCTGCTGCTAGTTTGTCAGCCCTCAGACAATGTGGGCTCCTCTTAAAGGGAGGTTTTTACAGCAATGGCTTGCTACCAGCAAGGATTTTAGGGTGAAAGGGTTGAACTCTGTAAACCTTGGGGTTTGCTCTAGTGCTCTTCCCTCCCTCCCTTATCCTAATCACAGGAGTACACAATCTAAAAATACTTGCTTTCATGGAAGGAATTTTCAAGTAAAGCAAACACACTTCACTGTGGGAACATTACTAGGCTCTTTCTTTCTAGCTTATGATATTGAGAAGGCATGGGTGGAGATTTTCCATGGTATGGGAGTACCAAGCTTGTTAAGGTTGTGTTGGTTGCAGAAAAAGATTGAACCAAGCCCTTGCTCTTGTCCTGGCTGCATAAATTTTATCAAATGCTTTCTTAAATGCATGTGATTAAATGGCAAGTTACGGAGGTTTGAGAAAATAAGGCAGTTAAATGTACTGCATTTATTGGTTACAGCCTCCAAAATCAAAACTGCAAAAGCAAGTCCTGTTCCTTTGACCTGTGTAGGAACTCTATTGCTGGTTGCATATATCTTTTTACCCAAAACCTAATGACTGCTTAAGGGAGTAGATTTTGTAGTTATGCAAAGCTCCCATTACAGTGTCTGTACAAGGAGCCACAAACTATTTGTTTTTTAGACAAGTCATACCATAGGCATTAATCCTTAAATGTTATCTTCTCTTTATAGGTTGACTGAGAAGCTGTGAAAGTTGGATCCAGAGCTTTGACACACTAGAAATACCACGTTTTCATGCAAAGCAAAATGTGGACAACCCCCGCCCCCCGAATTTATTTAAAACAGGCATGTCCAACAGGTAGATCATGACCTACAGGTAGATCATTGGACGTCTGTGGTAGATCACTGGTAGCTCAGTGGCTCCTCCCAAAGAAGAGAAGCTCAACAAGTTTGAACCCCAAAGAAATGGGCTTTCCTCATCCCTCAAAAAAGCTCAACAACTTTGACCTGAACCCCCAAAAAGAGGGTAGATCACCGCCAGTCTTTAACTCTTGTGAGTAGATCACGGTCTCTTGGGAGTTGGTCACCCCTGATTTAAAATATAGATGCTCTGCCAATGGAACTATGTGCAAAACTTTGAGGGTGAAACTACAATAAGCAGACCATGTGAATCCACTTGTGTTTCCCATAAAAGCTTTTAAGCAGCATGACTACTTAGAAATAATTTTATTTTCCTGCCTTTTTTTTAGCTACCTTGGATATGTGATAATGGTGGGCTAGAAAAATTGAAGATTTGTATTTTCATTTTTGTTCTGCTCATGCCTATGGCAATTACACAGGTGTACATGTTACCTTGCTTTGAGAACCATTCCCAGATTTCACAATGAAAGTTAGTCCAACACTCTTACTGAAAAGCTATTATAATCTTATCTACTTTAAGGTTGAGGATTGTTGAGAAGTTTGGGTGCAATTCAGCAGAAGAGGGGTCTTGCATGGGTTAAGACAGTTAGGTACCTCCAGATTTCCAGACTATCCCTATACCTTTAACCTGTAACTCTTTTACTCTGTCAGGCATCATGATATTAGAATGATATTGTGAGATTACATTTCTCTCTGCCCTGAAGTTAAGAGGTCATTCTGGAACTATCCTCCGAGAGATCAAAGGAGCCAACATGGCTTTGTTCTACTGTAGACTAGTTGGGTAGAAATATTCCTAGTTCTAGTCTGTATTTCCTACAATAAACTATTTGGTTACTTTTTTTTACAAACAAGCATCTCTGTGTATGATTGCAAGTTAAAAGTCTGCTCTCTAACCAAGAGTCACTCTTTTGAACACTGCCTTTGCATACTAAAAGGGTTTCAGTAGGTAATTGGAACCAAATACCAAGATTTTGCTTGGTAACCGAATGCAATTTCATCAGTGAACAATTTAAAATGAATCGCTGTGTATACTTGCATAAAAACCAGGTAGTTGCTGTAATAGATGATGGCACTAAGATTTAAAAAGTCCATCTTCATGTGACTCAAATGTTAAACATAAGTTGCAATCCCCTCTAACAATAAGTATCCTGATGATTTCAATGATTATGGAGACCGTGTTGTATCTAAAACGCAAGAGGGAGGGGAAGATGCAGTACAAATTTTTAGTAGTAGCACTGTGCAATTTTTCAATATATTGGCCCAAATCAGTTTCAAAATCACACCACGGCAGCGATTTTGACTCAGCAATACATTGTTGCTCATGCGAGGGATAGCCGGGCAGCTGATTTCAAGGCACCGCCAACATTGCATGATCTCAGCCAATGATCTGAGTTGCCTCAGAGAGAACAGGGCCGCCATCACTGCTGATATAAGCCATGGCCATTGCTGAGGCACCGTGGCACTACCTTCCCCTGGCACTGGGGAGGCGGAGGTGTTTTTCTCAGTCAACACGAAAGCAGCAGCCACAGTGGACAAACATTTGCTACGGACGGACTGTGGCTTGATGCACCCCCATCCCCTCCCACTCAAACCATGTGGTGGAGGTCACTCTCCTCCCCCCCCCCACCTGATCTCCAATTTCAGACATGATATGTATATCACAGGGGTCAGCAACCTTTTCCAGCTGTGGGCCGGTCCACCATCCCTCAGAGCACGTGGTGGGCCGGACTATATTTTGAAAAATAAATAAAAAATGAACGAATTCTTATGCCCCACAAATAACCCAGAGATGCATTTTAAATAAAAGGACACATTATACTCATGTAAAACACACAGATTCCCGGACCGTCCGTGGACTGGATTGAGAAGGCGATCGGGCCGCATCTGGCCCACAAGCCTTAGGTTGCCTACCCCTGATATATCGAAATGTGATGTTTAGTTGCTGATATATCACGATGTTGAAAACCAGACATTGCTCAGCTCTATTAAGTAGTTAAAGGTAAAGGGACCCCTGACCATTAGGTCCAGTTGTGGCCGACTCTGGGGTTGCGGCGCCCATCTTGCTTTATTGGCCGAGGGAGCCGGCGTACAGCATGTGGCCAGCATAACGAAGCTGCTTCTGGCGAACCAGAGCAGCACACAGAAACGCCATTTACCTTCCCGCCACAGCGGTACCTATTTATCTACTTGCACTTTGATGTGCTTTTGAACTGCTAGGTTGGCAGGAGCAGGGACTGAGCAATGAGAGCTCACCCTGTCGTGGGGATTCGAACCGGCAACCTTCTGATCAGCAAGTCCTAGGCTCTGGTTTAACCCACAGCGCCACCCAGCAGCATTTGGGAAGCTGATTATGGGTACAATGGGAGTGAGCCCAAGTGAATTCAGTTGGACTTATTCTTGCTCAGACACTGTTAGTATTGCAGTCCAAGACATTTCTGATCAGTTAAACTGATAACTGCAATCCTTGTCAGTCTAAACTGGTTTTATAAGGGATGGACTGAAACATTAAGGATTAAGGCTTAGTCTCAGAACCCCCCCCCCCAAGCTGTAGTTTAAAGTCACTGAAACTTATATTTTTAAAGTCACTGGAGTCCAGAATAGCAGAGGGGAGAGCCTTCCATGGAGGTTTAATTGCTTCAGCATCTTATCTTTAAGTAAGAAATTATAACTGATTGAGTAAGTTATGCTATGGTAAGGTAAGGTATATACCTCTTCAGCTAATTGCCAGTTTGAATCAGATTGCTCTACCGAGAAATACAAGAGATTTATAAAAATGAAGTTTAACTGTCTTTTGCCTAGCACCTTCATGAATTAAGGTTTTACACCACAAATGTTGAAAGCACTGTTTTATTAACATTCAATAAATAAGTGTTCAACCTCCGCCCTGAAACAAAAGAAAACCAAGATTCCTGGCCTAAACTCCATTGCCAGCAATGGATACAGAACAGGCCCAACAGGTTAATAAATAATGCTCGTCTGCCGAGATTCGAAGCCACTCCACTGATTTCAAAACGGCCTATTTCAGAGTGGCTTGAAGACTTACATAGTAATCAGATAGCAATTTATATTTTAGGACCAATTTACACTTTAAGAATAATTGTAGTACAGAACTCTTGGAATGCAGGTGGAAAAAATGCATGATTGAATATAGTTTTCTTGGAACTCAATGCACACTGAAAAATTAGGCTAGAATTGTATGCTAACCTTTCAAGGAGAATTCTTGAGTCCAGCCAGGAAATCTGCAATCAGTCACAATCCTCCCATATAAATTCTGTAGTAACAATTCTTAAAAGTGTATTACAGCTTTGAATATCATGGCAGTTTCTGAACATGCTACCTCAAGACTACAACAAGATTAATACTTAACCCTCAATAATGTCCTTCATAGAAGAAAATAAGGTTGTTAGAAAATCTTGGTTAATTTCATATAATAGGAGTGAAGTGGCGAAGCATATCAATAATGCTCCCTCTTTTGCTACAAAAATTCTCAAAGGACTTTGACCATATACACAAGGCATTTTTTTTTGCATCAGTTCACACATTTCTATGAGATCCATGAAGAGTCCAAGAATAGATTAATTAATATATCAATTCACTGACTAGGTGGGTTAAAATGTCTTCCCTCATAAATTACCCACAAGTTCTGAAAGTTTAATATCAAAATCCATTCAACCAAGCCCTGGGCCAGTCACACGTTTTGTGTTTTAAAGAAAAATGAAAACATATAAACCAACCATGTATTGCAGATAACTAGCCAATACAGCAGTCTAAGAAATATACAAATAATCCAACTTCCATTTTAGCATAAAATAAAAATCTATTTAACCATGGTAACATTAAATGCTGAATGTCATTCTGCAGTTTCTCTAACCCAAGTCAGATCCTTTGGTGCATTTTTCTGTGTTTTAGGCTCCTGAAATTTTTCTGCAAATCTCTCTCTTGCTTTTTCCCAGTTCCTTCTGTTCTTGGTGCTGATGATCTGAACCTCTTCTGCAGATGTAGGAGTAGCTGAACCTAAGCCTGCATGCTTTCTGTGCAGCTGAAGTTTGATCTGTTGGACAATGAATTCTTATAAGCATAAATTCAACAAATAATATGCATTCAATAACTTTTAATATCTTGAAAAGCTGGAGAGAAGCACATAATGAGGAAACCTGAAAACTATGTTCTCATGCTAAAGCCACCATCTGTGTATGTGTGATGCAACTGACACTTTCAGCAAAGCTTACCCAAAAAAATAAAAACAGAACATTATATAAAAAATAAGTCTAAACCTAAAAGAACAGTGGGATTAACAGCTAACAATATCAGTCACACTATTTTATTTTACTTCCAAATGCCCACTTATACAACAATTTTATTGACTGAAACAGCCGGTGACTTTTCTCTTACACAAACTGTAGTACCTTCAAATCTCAAAAGTATGTTTTTATTCAGGATAGCCATGAAAGAGTAGAAGAGGTCCAATAAATTATCTAGCTGAAGGTACACTTCACAAGCTAGGATATATACAGTGGTACCTTGGGTTAAGTACTTAATTCATTCCGGAGGTCTGTTCTTAACCTGAAACTGTTCTTAACCTGAAGCACCACTTTAGCTAATGGGGCCTCCTGCTGCCGCCGCGCTGCCAGACCATGATTTCTGTTCTCATCCTGAAGCAAAGTTCTTAACCTGAAGCACTATTTCTGGGTTAGCGGAGTCTGTAACCTGAAGCGTATGTAACCTGAAGCCTATGTAACCTGAGGTACCACTGTACCTGCACCATAGTGACAGGTACTGGGGGGAATTCCAATATTTTCTGAGTGGAATGGCTCCAAGAACTTAAAGAGTCCTGCTGATCAGACCAGAGGCCTGTCAGTCCAGCATTCTGCTCTTACAATGACTAGCCAGATGCCTAAGGGAAGTCCACAAGATTGACCGGAAATAGCATGAAAGCAATGATAGTTTGTGGCATGTGTGTGTGTGTGTGTGTGTGTGTATGTACACACACTAGGGGAAATTCCTCACCAGTGAACTCAAACTTCCCCACAAGTATAGTGCCCTTTGCAGTTCACTCAGCTTCTTTCTTTAATATAATGATATGGGTTCTTTTGATGAAATATTAATTGCACATTTGAATGAATATCATAGAACAGGACGTAGCTAGAAAAAGCGTCTGTAAAACTTCCCTCATATCCAAGCTTTCCCATTGTTGGGTGTTTGTGCGTTGCCTACCTCCACTCAAGCCTGTTTCCTAAAACAAACAGTAGCAGCAACCCTCCTCCCTTCTCATCTAGCACAATTTGTAAGGAAAAAATCTACTTCCTGTTTGGGCTCACCTGAACTGAGTGAAGTGGTTCGCTGAAACAAGGCCAAATCACAAGACACATCTGAAATAGTAACTGATGACCCCCCCCCATTTTACTACAATATGTCTCTATCATTCATTGTGCATTAATAAAATAGGTTCAATAATCAAAACATACATCCCGGAAAACAAAATAAAAAACCCATCAAAAACTACTAAAAGTAAGCAACCTCAGAAGTCCCACAAAGTTCAATGATACTTGTGCATAGGATTGCAGTGTGAGTGTACTCCACAGCACAATCCTATTAAACAAGTATCATTCGTTTCAACAGGGTTTACTTCCAAGGAAGTGAAAATAGGGTAGCAGCTTTAGTCTAAGCTTTGCGCAATTTATACATTGAAGTAGACCTACCGGATCCTTCATTCCGCCACCACTCTTTCCGAGCCCATCTCCTTTCTTCCATCCCATCTTCTCCAACATTTTGTGACCTTTGTTGCTATCACTAATTTCACTTTAAAAACAAAAAACAGAACTTTTACATGGGAAGGAACTACTTACTT